TAATTAGAGATTGATAGGCTTTTCCTAACAGTCTCCCTGTTTATGGATTTCCCTATTGATATCCTTGTTTGTGGATATGGCTGAGCAAGTTGAATGTGGAAAATACCGCTTTACTCCAAAAAGCTATTAAATGGTCTCTTTGAGTGAGGCAAATTTTCCACATAGGTTTCACATTCCGGGAAAAGTATCAAATGTGTTCTCATTGGACAGCTGTGTAATGAAGCATAGAGCTTGAAAGGTCTGTCAAGAGTCACACAAACTTACCAGAAAGACACTTTTCCTCCCAAATGGAGCAATATATTAGACTGTTGCTTTTATTTTTTTTAAGTGAATATTTCTGAAGAATACAACTGTGAAGTCTGAAAAGGTAGTATGTCATGAAATGAAAATCTGTGCCTAGAAAATCAACAACAGGGCAAAAACCACGGGGCTGTAGGTTCAACTACCTTCTTCAGCTCTTCTCTTTGCACCTTCCCTCAGTTTCTTTATTTGGCATCTTTAAAGAAACATTCTAAGTCAGTGTAGCAGGTTGGGAAAACACCTGGAGTCATTCAGTGATCTTTCCATATTGCCTAAACCAGGAGTCCGTAAATTATGGCTCATGCATCAATATAACATCCTGTGTGTCTTTGAAGATAAAACTTTATTGGAGCATATCACACACATCCATTTATGAACTGTGTATGGCTGTTTTCTCACTAGAGTAGTGATGTGGTTGTGGCAGGGATTAGAAGAGCCCCCAAACCTAAAATATTTACTGGTCCTTCATAGAAAAAGTAGGCCAGTTTCATTTCTTATTTTTTAGATGAAAATTATATTTTTGGACATGGTCTGCTGTTCTCCATTCTGACCCATTAGATCTTTTTTTCACCTACTTTACCCAAAATATTCCATTTTTAAATTATCTTTTTTCCAACTAAATATACCATCTTGTGTTGGCATATATTTAATTTTTAAGTTACTATCACAATTAGTTTTATTCCAAAACTTACTAAACTTGAACATTGAAAAGGTCATTTATGGCCCAGTTTCTGCATGGGTCAAGCCATGGAATAATCAACTCAATAATGATGAAAAGAAGTAACTGGAAGGAACTTAAAGATTTATTTAAGCTTTAAAGAAAGTGCTAAAGAGGGAAAAGAAGAGTATGCTTTTAATGAATACTATAAAAATGTTATCTTCACCCCAGAATCATTGCCCTTGCCATCCTCCTAGATCAGCTGCTGTGGTGCCTATAATGGCATGTCACTCAGATCTCTCTTCTAGGTGTCAAGCCCTTTTTGGAAACTGTCAAAAAGAGCTCTTTGTGTAGTGCATCCCACATCTAATGATGGTTGATATGGAGGTTTGACTCTGTTGCCTCTAAAGGGGACAATCCCCAAAGGCCTTGCTGGTTCCAGAGCTCCTCATGTGATTTGTTGAGCACTGTTGGTGGAAGGGACTCCTGATGCCTCACACATGGTTGAGGAGCTATTGCTAGTTGATGGCTACTGAGGGAGGAGAATCACTGTTCTTTGAGAAAACAATCATTAATGGATTGGGCATGCACCAGTGGATAAACCCACACCCATGGACAGCACTAATGGGACTCAGTGTATTGTCTCAAAAATTAAAAACAAACAAACAAACATTAATTTGGAGGGAGATGTGTTGAGGGGAGTTGGGGGGTATTGCTTGCATGTATATGAGTGTACCATGTGTGTGCAGTGCCCTTAAGAGGCCAGAAGAGGGTGTTGGATTCCCTGGAACTGGAGCTACAAACAGTTGTTAGCCATCACGTGAGTGCTGGGAACTGAACCTGGGTCCTCTGCAAGATCAGACAGTGCTCTTAACTGCTGAGCCATTTCTCCCACCCCCTTTAAAAAATTTATTAGCCAGGGTCTCCTGTATCCTAGATTGTTCTTTCACTACTATGTACTTAAGGATGACCTTGAACTTTTGATTCTCCTGCCTCTACTTCCCAAGTACTGGGATTATAATGTATACCCCACATTCAGTTTATTCAGTGCTGGCTTGAACCCAGGGCTTCAGTCATGCTAATCAAGCACTCTACCAAATGAGCTCCATCACCATTTCTCTCTTTTTATAATTTTGAATTTTGTTTGATATAAGTATAGTTAGCCCTATTCTCTTTTGAGTTCCCTTTGCATGGAATATCTTTTACTATATGTTCATGTGTGTCCTTAAAGAGAAGGCGAATCTTTTATAGACAGCATATAGTTGGGCTTGTTTTTAAATCCATTCAATAGCTTGGTGCCTTTTGACTAGAGAATTTATCACATTTACATTCAAGATGATTGATAGGTAAGGATTTATTGCTGTTATGGTATCTATACAGTGACAAAGGAGTCAGCTCATCAAGAAAACATAAGGATGTAAATATACACACCGAACACTTAAGCATGTGAACAAATATTTAATAGATCTGATTACAGTAATACAGTAATAGGAGGGAATTTCAATAATCCACTTTCAACAATGTATAGACCATGTAGACAGAAAAACAAGAAAATGTGGGATTTGAACTGTGCTTTAGACTAAATGAACCTAAGTGACATAAGCAAAACATTCCACTCAACAGCAACAGAATACACATTGTCAGGAACTTATGAAACATTTCCCAGGATACACTGGACACAAAAGAAATCTTACTTTAAAAGTCTTTCGGTTTTTTAAAATTTAAAAAACTGAAATCATAACAAGTATCTTTTCTGTCTACAATATTACAAATCTGCCCTAGTTAGCTTTCTATTGCTGCAGTGTGGGAATGACTTTCACAATATGGACATGCTCTGGACAAACGACTTTTACCTAATCTTGCAACCAAAAAGTTAATCTTATCTTGTTTATAATGTAGCCAAGCTTACTGTACCATGTGCTCCTCTTGGAACCTGAGCATATGACCTTAGTCCCTCATGAGTTAGGCCCAGAACAATGTACGTACAGGTGTGTGTATGTGGCGAATAGCAAAGGCATAGGAAACAATGGGGATGTGAAGATTATCCCATTTGTGTTGTAAAAAATAGATGAGATTCAACTGATAATGTGTGTGGGGGTGTTAGTCTAGGTTTAGGTATCAGAAAGGGTAAAATTCTCTAAGCTAAGTGTCTAACTTTTACTTCTCCATTTCATGCTGGATATACTGTTTCAATAAAACGAACAGTTGGCCCCTGTTCAACAGCACAGTTTCAAGAGAATTCTGAAAGAACAGATCCTCAACAGTTCAGACCCACTCTTGCCTTGAAATGGATGCTAAGAGTCAAGCTGTTTTTATTAATGCAGAGCCATAATGTGATGTCATATAGGAAACACCCTACTGTGATAAAGCACTGACCAAAACCAACTTAGGGAGGGAAGGGTTTATTTGGCTTACATATCCTCATCACAGTTCATCCTTGAAGGAACTCAAGGGCAGGATCTTGGAGGGAGGAACTGAAGCATAAACAGTGGGCTGGGCCATCCCACATCATTCAACAATGTCTCATAGACATGTCCACAAGCCAATCCAATAAAGGAAATTTCCCAGTTGAGGTTCCCTCTTCCTAAGGTGTCTCCAGTTTGTGTCAAGTTGCCAGAACCAACCAGCATAGAAATGAAAATTTAGAAAGGAAAAAACTTAGAAAATTCACAAATGTGTAGAAATTAAACAACATGCTCCTGAACACCAAAAGATCAAAGAAAAAAAAAATCAGAGGGAAGTCAGAAAACATATTGAGAGAAACAACATATTGAAATTTATAAGGTGCAGCAAAGGTTTAAGACAAAAGTTTATAGAAGTGATGACCCAAAAAAGAATAATCATCTACATACATAAGGTTATACATCAAAGAACTTGAAAAGGAAGAATGAAGGAACTGAGCCTAAAGTTAGTAGGAAATAATAAGGATCAGAGCACGAAGTAAATGAAATGCAAGTAGAAAAAAAGAACAGAAGAGATCCATAGAGCGAAGAGTTGCTTTTGTGGAAAGACAACTTTTACCAATAAAACTTTAGCTAGCCTAAGCCCAGATTTCAACAAGATATCCTGACTCAGAAACTCTTATGTCTCCATTTTCTGTTGCTTTCTGTTACATGTTCAGGGATTGAAAATTTGCCTATACAATTTAAAGATTTCACCTTGATTTTCTTTCATAATAATTCTAATTACATATTCTGAAAAGCTGTTTAATAAGAAATGGGGGCAGGGGAGTAAGGTATAGAAAATTCATGGAGTATTATTGGAAAGCTTACCACTGAAGAAATGTTTCCTTCACTCTCTGGAAGATCTTCTTTCCAGTTATCTATTCATTGTACTCTATGGAAAAAGAAAATAAATTTACCTTTTAAAACACTTTCTAACAAAACTCAGTGAAAATGTATCCAGTTTCTAAAAGCATTTACCACGAAGTACCCATAAATACACAAAAGAGTTGTATTCTAGGATTTTAATGCTACTGCTAATTTAATATTTTGGGGTCAAGTAAAAAATGCAGCATAAGATCAGGGTGACTCTGATAAAGAGAAGATCAAGTGTTTGAGGGAACCATGAGGCTAGTTGTCCAATGACCTCCTAATCCCAGGGAATCTTCTGATGGGCCAGGAGGAGTGCCTTTTCTGTCACTCATAGAAAATAAGCAAGCCCCTTTGTGAGAGTATTGTGGTTAAATAATAACATAAGCTTCATATTTTATTTCTTTTTCTTTTCTTTTTTTTTCCTTCTAAGACAGGGTCTTCCTGTAGCCCCAGCTAGCCTGGAACTTGCTATGTAGACTAAGCTGGCCTTGAACTTACAGAGATTCTCCTGCCTCTGCTCCATCTGCCTCCCGAGTGCTGGGATTAAAGGCGTGCACCACCATACCCAGCCCACACTGTCTTAAATCCCCAAGTGGGGGGTTGGAAATCCTTAACACTTCCCTGACAATATTGTGATTATTGTTTTTAAAGCCAATCTTAGTCTCAGTAGTGAGGTTATAAAAGTGTATCTTAGAAACAAGAATAATGAAATCTGTTATGTTTCCAACTTGTACTTGAATTCTGATATCTGTGATAAGTAAGGTTTGAATTCCCACTGTCCGTCCCTGAAAGAACCTAGGGCATCTATCAAATAAGTGAAAGCACTTGCCAGCAGCACTCCAATTGTAAACAGGAAATTGTCCACCTCTTGGATAATAAATGGCCTCCCGCCTGTTCAAAATGATGGCAAATTTACAATTAGGTTTCTTTTCAGAACAGTTACAGTTGAAATTATCTTATTTCATTAGACAGACTTTATCTGTGTAATATATTATCTTCCTTGCTTTATTAAGTTGAATTCTTTTTTTGTCTACCCACCAGGATAATTTTTACCCTTTATTAAGAAAAATATAACTAAAATAAGGAGAATATCATGCAAAAATAAATCAGGTAACAATAGAATTAACAATTGTTTCTTTACTTGTTTCTGTCCCCCATAAAGGTAAAGTATTGATCTTTTTCATCATTCTATCTTTAGTGACAGACACTTATAGCATAACAAATAGTAATTATTTGCTAAAGAATAAAGACAAGGAGACAGCAAATACATGGGCAATCAAACATATTTTCTTAACATTTAGGACTTTTAAAAAGTGTTTTAATTTTGATACATTTGATTAAAAATGTTATATCAAATGAAATAATATATATTTCTGAATGATTAATGTGTCTTTAAGAATTTTTTTTCAATGTTGAGAATTGAACTCCGAGCTCTATGCATGCTAGGCAATTGCTTTTGTGCTGAGCTACATCTCCAGCAGGCTGATGTACTAGGATCTAGCAGGGATGGTTGGATTATTAAGTACAATAGTTCCTTAACTGAATAAATTCCTCATGAATATTGTGCCCATTCAATGAACAAGGAATAGAAAGTCTATAAAAGAAATCTAAAAGGAAGAGGTAGTAGATGAACAGCCAAGTTAAACCAGAACTAAATACAGTTGCTAGATCATATGTACAGAAAGGATTCATGTCTTCTTTTAAATTGTAACTAAAAGAAGTTTCAGCACAGGGTAGTTGCTAAGGCCCCTGCTCATCAGCTTGGCATTTGCTGTTTTGCTCATAAGCACTATATAAAAAGTGATGACTGATGATATAACATATCATAATCTTTGAAAGAAAATATATAATATAATTTAATGCTTTGTCTATTTATTTATTTGTATTTTATGTGTATGAGTATTTTCCTGCATATATGTAAGTGTACCCATGCATGAAATGCCATGGAGGTCAGAAGAGGGCATTGAATCCCCTGGAACTGAAGTTTCAGACAGTTGTTAGCCACCATGTGGTGGGAAGTTAATGGATGACATATGAAGTTAATATGGCATGAAAGAATTCAATTCAATTATATGGAGGTAATCAACAGAACTACAGCTAGAACCTTGCTGAATGGACTACTTCAGGGAAAGACCCATTAGAGGTGGAGCTGGGGTAGGAAAGTCAATTATTCTTTCTTTTCATTTTATAATGCTGTGTGTACCTTTTGATATTTTCTTACCATGTGGGTACATTATTCCCATTATATAAAAAGCTAGACAATTTATATTAACTAGCTGAGTATTCATGTCAGTGCTGCCAACCTAAACTGCATTCTTCATAAGGATAAAATGAACATAGTCATACATGTAAAAGTAGAAGGCGATGCAATACCACAGGAATCCTACTAGTATTACTGCGACCAGTATCAGCATCACGATTCCAAACAGGTCAACTGAAACACATGAGGGAAACCTATATTAAGAACAGATTAGAAACTTCTTATATTTCTAACTTTTCTAGTATCATGCTCTCTGATTTTTAGAAACAACATTGTCAAACCATTGTTGAAAATGGCAATACAGTAAAATGCACCACATATTTCAATAAAATTTCCATGAACACATAATCACTAACATGAAAATCTTCTGGGTTGCAAAAAGAGGTAAATTGATAAACAGACCACTGGTTTATTTTTTTTCTTTTATTTTGCCTTCTATTTCATTTCTGGTACTTTCTCAACAGACAAGATAGAAGGTACCTGGGGTTGTTCTTTTTGTGAAGGTGCACAGAGCTAGCATGGAGTGGTTTGCTGTTTGGGTGCCAGCAACTCACTATCAAAGAGACAACTCATACTTGCTTGGAAAAAGATATTTCTACTTCTGGTAAACTTCCCCCCCCCCATTCAGTACCATATAGCTTATTAGCCTGGTATACAGTAAAATGAAACTAGAAGAGAAAGCATAAAATAGGAAACCAGAGTTTCTGTTCATAAAAATGCAAAGTGCTCCTCTTTGGAAGCTTTGATTACAGATGACTTAAATATACCCCTAGATTGGAGGGCAAAATTGTATCTTTTCACTTCAGTTAAGGAAAAAGCCCAGACAACTGGTTAGATGGAGCTGTCTCAAAAGGGTAGGGTGCACCTAGAAAGTCATCTGTTTTGACTTTTCTGGAAAATTCATTGAAAAATACTGTTACATCTTTCTGCTTTAGAAACTACCACATAATGCCAAAATTTGGCATTACAAATATAAAGATTCTTTGATGGTTGATATTTTCTCAGACCTCAAGAGTCATCTTTCTGAATGGCAATTTTCAATGTGGATTATATTAGCTGAGGAAATACTGTCCTAACACTACTGGGATCAGTATTAGCATGTATACACACATATATAAACATACATACATACATACATACATACGTACATACATACATACATACAATACACTCTCTGAGTTCCTAAAACATCACAACACAAACATCCTTTGACTAGGTTATTAATATCATACATCAGAGATTTTTGCAAATGAAATCTAATCTATTAAGCATTACTGGAAGATTTCTGCCTGACTCAATCTGAAGTAACAGCCCTTGTAACAACCAGTGAGACTAGATCAGGGAGAGGCGTTGAAGAGAGGCCCTGGACTGGAGTGCTTTACTAAAGCAAATACAACACCTAAAATCCTTTAAATGTACCATATAACTAGTATTTGCAAATCAATTGAAATGACATACATTAAAATTTAAATAAGGAGAACTCACCTCTGCAGTTTGCCCAAAATATAGAATTGAATTGACAATTGGCATATGGAAAACAATATTTTTTGCAAATACCTTCTTCTCTGCACCAAATACACTGTATTTGGAAAAATAAAAAATAAAAGAATATTCAATAAATAGCAGCCACCCTCAACACTTTTTCTAGAAGTCATTAGTGGCCTGTCAAGATCCTCTTCACTAGCCCCATGTCCCCAAACCTCAGTGCAGTGAGTATTGGCTGCCTATGCCTCACAAGTTCCCTTCTGGAACGACGGCCCAGGAGGATCATCTTGCCCTTAAGATTCCTATCCTCATAGGCCAGAAACTGATTAATACAGAGCTCCAAACAGTGAGCATCTTTCTTTCCATTAATGAGCAACTCTGCTATGTGACTTTTTACCCACAGGCTGCCCATGGGTCAGGTTAAATGCAGACTCCAACTGAAACCTCTCATCTTCTCTTGGCTCTTTCCTCTTTGCAGAATCTTTCATTCTTTCATGAGATTTTTATTAAAGCTCAGTCACTCAGCTATCACATGCACCTGGATTCTTTTCTCAGATTCTGCATTTTAGGAACTAAGCCCCAAACTCTGTCTCATGAAGTAGTGATAAGGATTGTATTAGTGTTTAAAATGCTCCAACATTTTCCCCAAGCCCCTTGCCTGCAGCATCCACTCTTTCCTCTGGGAGAATCTTCCCCTTTTCCATGTGGCCCTGGTGGTGCTGTCAATCAACTTTATCTCGCTTCCTTACACCTTCTGCTCATTGATGGTCAGACAAGTATGTGGAAATATTGAAACTGAATTCTAAGCCTCTTGTTAAGGTAAATGACAGAAAAGCACAATGATGAAAACTATTGTATGAGGTTAGATCAGAATATGGAAGAGAAGAGATGGCAGTGATGAAACGGCCTTCACAGAGGGCTTACCATGTGACAGTGTGGTTTAACTCTTGCATATGTATCAATTCATGTCATCCTCATGACAATCCTCTGAACTAGGCATTAGTATGTACACTGTTAGTGGACAGTAAGGCATAAACAATTCAATAACTTGTATAATATGATCACAAAGCTAGTAAAGAGGGCAGCCAGGTTCTGGGTTTGTAAACAGTTCTGGGAGACTGGTCTTAGATCTACCCCAATCATTTCTTGCTGTAGAATTCTGAATCTAGCAGAGGTAATTCACCCAATGCAAAGTATCATCTCTTAGGCACTGTCCCAAAACAGGAGTTATGTCACAGATCAGCTTTTGTTTTTGAAGTAAAGCTGCTTCTTTTTTTTTATTTCTTTTTAAAAAAACATTGTCTTTTTTTAATTGAATTTTTGTGTATTTCATGCATAAAATCTTTATATTCCCTTCCCCCTTCCCCTTTGGCACCCTGCCATAGCCGCCCCCCCACACTGGAGTTCATACATTCTCAGACCAGCTTTTGTTTCATGCTTGTCAAGATCAAAGGCCAAATTAAGTTCTTAAAGAAAATCTTATACTGATGCAACTTGGGTCAAACGGACCTTGTTATCTTAGGCTCCGGCCTAACGACTGGAACTACAAAGTCAAAGCCCCAATTCAAGGATGAGAGCCTACTGCTGGCCTTGGCTATTAGTTCTCAGAGATTCAAAGAATTAAGTTCATGCCATAGCAAACTGTTAAGAGAGATAAGTTGTCAGAATAAACCTGAATCCAAAAGAATGGAATTTGTGGTTATTTAAAGTGCTAAGCTGATTCCCAGGACCCAGTAACTATAACAGGTCTATAGTGGACGAGCTCCTAAAGCAGCAAACACATTCCTCAAAGGAAACTTTCTCTCCTGTGCCCGTTTCTGGAAAAGGGAGCTCCTTAAGAAGCCAAGCCTGGGTAACCAGACACCTGGCGACCAATGAACTCATTGCTTGGCCAGGGAAACTCAAGATGAAAGCATGGCATAGACTCAATTTGTTACAGTATCACTAACCACTATCTTCTTTTATGAATGAGAATTTTCACTATTGTTATCCTGATTTTTTTTTCTTTTCTGTTCTTTTGTGGGCTTTAGGGAGTTGGTTTAATTGATTGTATAGCTGACTTGATGGAACACGGACCGTCAAGCACCGTATATGAACACAAGAATAGTACACGTCTCACTGAGACTCTAGACTTAATGCTGAGGGCAGAGCTCACAGTGACTATGGGTAAATCTAATTTTTACTGAGGACTAGTATCATTATTTTGACTGGGACATTTTTTAAAACTATGAGGCTAGATTAAATGTGCATCCTGAAAGGGCAAAGTTTGAAATGCAATAGATTGGAGTAGTTGTTTTTTTTTTTTTTTTTTTTTTTTTTTTTTTTTATGTTTGCCCATCTCGTGTTGCGATTCTTCTTTTGATAATCATAACCTCTGTACTTGTGGGCATCTTCACTCAACTCTGTGTGGACTTATAGCTGTCAATCAGCCTTTCTCTGCGCCTTTCCTACAACTAGAGTACTCATTTGACCCAGGCAGTGACACTCAAGATAGTTCATACCTCTTGCCAGTAGATATGCTAGCCTGACTAGAACACCCAAAGAGGGCCAATTAGAACTTTCTTTGGAGTTAAAGATATTGAGAGAGATCGGCTAGCAGTGAGCCTCTTCCTCAGCTATTTGGAGACTATCCATGTGCTGTGGGAGAAAAAGAGGTCAGTCCACAGGGAGACAGAGCTGGGAGCTGAAAGGAGAAAGAATGGGAGAGGAAGAATGGGAATGGCACCCTTTGAAATTCAGCTGAGCATGAAGCCAAGTCTGCCCAATTTTGTGAGGGAGTGAATTCCCCCTTCTATTAAATTAATCTGAGTTGAGCTTCTATCACTTACCATAAAAAAGATACGATACCTTAACTACTGTAACTATGGCTAACAAGTCTTCAAAGAGCTGAACTTCGTATTCATTGCCCAGAGGAACGGTATAATATATTGGGCATCCCTAAATCGGTAATGTATAATTTAAGACAAATTACATGGATTTTTTCTTGTAGCTAAAGAAGGTGACCCACACAAATATAAGGACTTTTCAATCCCAACCTCTTAAGTATGTGACAGCTGAGAATTCAGCTAAAAGGCTTTAGGGTGATGGTTATTATTGATTCATAGGAAAACTGGAGGAGTAACAACCTATTTTAATGTTTTTATGGATATCAATTTTCTATTTTCATAAGGAAATATCATTAAAATGAAAATTCTGGGGGATGAAATACATAATGTTTTTTGGTTTGTTAACATTGTATAAACAAATGGCTAATATTGTACTAGCAAACAAATAGAAATGAGAGCATTCATTTGTAAAGGGAGACATCAAAGTAGTGCACATAAAATGGAACAAAAGAATCTTATGTGTGTTGACAGATGCTAGAGTCAGCACATTACACAAATGTGCAAAGAGTTGTTTTTGCTTTCTAATACATGCAATATGCATGCGTACATGAGACAAACAATTCACATCTCTGAATGAAAGAATATTATTTTCAAAATTATGGGAACATATTTAAAATGTGATAGCTAATGAGAAAGTAATCACTTCTGTGTGGAATCACTGGATAAGATTTCTTTCAAACAATAAGGAGAGTGTGGTACAGGTCTGGAGGAAAGGCAGAATGTGTACAGTGAACAGGAAGAAACACAGTAGCCAGAGTGAAAATCTGTCCTGGTGGCTTTGTAGAGCAATTCAGAAAGATAAACATCTCTTGGATTGTGATGGGTTATGAATGTCGGACTAAAGAGTTTATGTTTTGTGTTTTATTTAACAATAGAGATTGAACTGATTTATTTGGAATTCAAAGGTGACATAATAAAAAATATAATTGAAATGAATCAGGCATCAGGAGAGATTGGAGGGACAGGGTGGGGAAGTGTGATAGAGCAGCAGTAAAGGAAGGTCTGGGTTGCGCCATAGAAAGAAGAGTGGACCGCAGATGTTTTATGGAAGACAAGGAGCCAAAGCTTTCTAAAATTAGAGGTCTGGGAGAACGACACCAAGAATGGAGAAGGAAATAAAGATAATGAGCTTCTCTGGGGAAGACAAAATGATGGTTTAGTTACAGATTTTCAGTTTGAGTAATTAAAATATACTGAGTAGGAACTGTCACTCAAGCAACTGTGAGCATGACGATTGGGGATATAGGCGGTCTAAGGACATGCGTTTGGGATCTTAGGTGGAAGCCATGACTGCAGATCAGAGCGCAGGATGAGCAGGCAACACTAAGAAATGCTCTCAGGGGACTGCAGAGATGGCTTAGTGGTTAAGAGCACTGGCTGCTCTTACAGAGGAACTGAGTTTGGTATCCAGCACCCAAATTACAGCTAACAACTGTGTGTAGCTCCAGTTCCAGGGAATTTGACACCCTCTTCAGGTCTCTAAGGGCACTGCACACACACAGTATACTCACATACATGCAGGCAAAACACTCACACATGAATTAAAAATAATAAAAGTTAGCATGCCTTTAATCCCAGCACTTGCGAGACAGAGGCAGGCAGATCTTTATGAGTTTGAGGCCAGCCTGGTCTACATATCAAGTTCTAGGGCAGCTGGGGCTACAGGGAGGCCCTGTTTCAAAAAGACAAAATTAATAATAATAAAACTTTTAAAAAGAGATGATCTCATTTAGGAATATGGAGAGAGGAATTGGTAAGGGAAGTATAGAGACAAGTGAAAGATGAGAGTCCATAGAAGGTCAGGATCACCAAAGAACAGCTTCCAGGAGAATGCCTGACTGACTTGAAAGGCCAAGACATTTTATAACCTTCAAGCCAGTTTGCTAAAGATGTTATGACACTGTGTGATGAGCAGTAGTAAAGTAGTTACATTAGCTACTTAAAAGAACCAAAAAAGAGGTTTGGGATCTTTTTTTCCAGTTTGAGCTTAGAAAGAAAGAAGGCACTGTAGAGGAATACACTGAGAGATCAAGGAAAGGAGAAAGGGTCTGAGTTTGTGAAGGTAGGTGTACTTCTGAGTTTGTGAAAAGTTACCTTAGTGTGTGTGTGTGTGTGTGTTCACATACATACCACGATGCATATGTGGAGATCAGGGGACATCTTTCAAGAGTCAGTTCTCACCTTCCACTGTGTGAATCCCAGGGATCAAATTCAGGTCATCAGGCTTTGCAGCAAGTGCTTTTGTCTGCTGAGCCATCTGCAGACACAGGGGCCAGAGACTAAGAGGATTAGCCTTGGAAATTAATGAAGATAGGAAAGAGAAGAGAGTTTAAGAGAAAGATGTTGAGAGAGTTCAGAAGAAAAAAGAATGTGAGCCTTACAGATGGCCTTAAACTTCTCAGGGAGCATCATGCTGCAAAAGGAGGACCACACCAAGATAAGTACGAAGTCAGGAATAGTTGCCATGGAACATAATTCATAATATCTGTTCATATTTGTTTCTTGGTTGGTTTATAGTCAGGGCACTTTTGACAGGGGATATATACAGGTTCAATCACATACTCAGGTTTGAACCCATAATTCTCTGTTCTCCTACTTCATGTCTTACACCCTACTCATGTCTGTGTGTGTGTGCACTATCAGATAAATGAAAACTAAAATGGGTATCTTTGTGGGGGTGTGAGTTACAACATTTATAAATCTATTGTACAACCATTTTATAATAGTCCTTTCATGTGAACTATTCAATAGGTAAATTAAGCTGTGAGAGATTTACAAGTCCCATTTGGCTTGTAACTTTATTCCTTTCTATCCTGGCCAATAATCCATATCAGGATATAATGTAAGAGAAAGATTCAGTTGTAGAGGTAACCTATAATCTACCCTGATTTATTTTTTAATCAATTAAAAATTCAATCATAACTCCCATTAGTTAAAAAACAAAATTTGCTTGGGACAATATCACTGTTGTGACATCGTGATTGAGAACCATCATCTCAAGGATTCAACGGGGATGCACAAAAACTCCAAACGACAGTGAAAGACCAGGTAAAGATGTTCTGAACCTGTTTCAGCTGGTATATTTTTTGAAGTTTTATTTCTAATTAGAGAAAATATATTAGTATTCTCTCTCTCTCTTTCTCTCTCTCTCTCTTCTCTCTCTCTCTCTCTCTCTCTCTCTCTCTCTCTCTCTCTCCCCCCACACTCACACACTGTGTGTGCTTGTATCTGTGTGTGGGCATGTGTCTGTGCATGTGTGTCAATGTATATGAGTATGCACGTGCACATGGGGGCCAGAGGGCAACCTCAGTTGTCCTTCAAGAGCCATCCACTTTGATTTTTGAGACAGGGTCTTTCACTGCCCTGGATTTGCCAATTAGGTTAGGCTAGCTGGATAGCAAGCCCCTGTAAGATTTGCCCATTTCTACCTCACCAGCACTGAGCTTACAAATCATGCCATCATGCCTGGCTTTTTATCTGAGTGCTAGGGATCTTAACTAAGGTCCTCATCTTGCATGGCAAGCACTTTATTGACTGAGCCATCTTCCCAGCCTCAATATTTTGTTTTCCATTCATTGTGTTTATGAGTACTGAGTTGGGGTAGGTTGTGCATGACTTGCTTTGTATAGACTTGTTTTTGATAAGAGTATTTTCTAATTCTAGGAAGGCTAGTCCTATACTATCAAACTATAAGAACAAATTCAGACAGAATCTAAAGATTCTTTTTAAGATAAGAAGAATAAATGTATATGGTATCAACCCAAACCAGAATGCTTGGTGGAAATTAGATGCTGGTATAGATAAATTCTTGAGGTCGATGGAACAGTGGATATAGGGTAAGACTTTCCAGGACATACCACACCACCTTTACATTCTTATTTGAGTCCAAGGAGAACTCAAATATTCTTGGTTGCTTCAGGAATTGCCACCTATAAACCCTAAAAACTCTCTAATGAAGGTGATAGAAATTGTCAGTGAAAGCAGTGTCCTTCCACTTTTGGGGAGGGCAGAGAATTTTTCCAAAAGATTACATCTTAATTCGATGTTAGCCATGTGGAATTCTCTCTTAGTTCATTCAAATCTACAAGGTGCTGGGAGTGTTTCTCATGTTACACTCAAATACACATATTTTCAGAATTGTCGTAATGGTTTATGTTTGGAAATGTTTTGGGATAAATTTTTCCCTTGGAGGCTGGAGAGATGGCTCAGTGCTTAAGAACATTGGCTGCTCTTGCAGAGGACCCAGGTTTAATTCCCAGCACTCACATGGTGGCTAACAACCATCTGTAACTCCAGGTCCAGGGTATCCAACACCCTCTTCTGACCTCCACGGGCATTGCACGCCACAAGTGCACTTACTTACATGCAAACAATACAGTCATACACATAAAATAAAATAATAAAAGTAAATAAATAAAATTTCTACCTTAATCCATGATAGAGTATACTGTGATTTAAGCTGCTTCTAATGGCTCAAGATTTAACTCAATAGTTATTGATGCTTGCCATATGCTTGGAAATGTGTGAAATGTTGTTGATGAAAAGTTGAATAATGCACAGACTTTACCCTTGGGAAGCTGAGAACAGAGGGATTATGATAGTAAAAGCAATATATATCATATGAGATAAAATTTAAAGATGTACAGATTTAAGTCCAAAAGAATTATAATAAAACCCCAGGAAGTATTAATCTTTTAAAAGAAAAGGTAAATATATATCTTTGGATTAAAATGACAGGAATTTTTTAATTCAGGGGACAAAGTTAATACTTATAGACTCTGTTTATAATCTATGAAATCAGAACTGAAGCTATTGATTGAGATTGATGAGGTCTGTGATAATATTGGCATTTTAAGGATGGTTATAAAGTTATGCAGTTGCTACAATGGAAATGTTGCTAACCAAAAAGGCAAATAATGGCAAGTATTTGGGCTCAGGTGATCCTGGAAATCTTAAGTTTTTAATTGTATTGATGAAGGCTTTGATGTACTTGAGCAGCAATCAGCTAACAGTGCATAGCACTGAAACATAGATTGATTGAAGGACCAATCAGAGCTAGACAATGTAGTGACAGCAGAGTTAAAAATAAGATGGCAAGGCTGTTCAAGCAGTTGTAGTTTTTTCAACTCCCAAGGACACAATAGATCCAGGTAAAGAGATCATCACTGACTTCTAACATTACCAAAGACAGGACCACAGTCTTATCAGCCTTGTAATAAGTCTTCACTATGAAATATTGCTACCCCAAACCCCACAGAATCTGATCAGTCCCTTATGCCTAATTACAAGTTTATAGAAGGAGGAAAGGGAAAACATAGTAAAGCCCATTTTAGGAACGTGAGTGTGACCAGCAAAATCCAGCCTATGGAAAATTCAATGGGATAACAGTCTTTGCACAACAAAAAGTGGAGGACTATTTCATTCAGGTGAATAGCCATGAGAATTCACATGAAGAAAGGGAATCCACTGGGGAGGGCCAACCACCCGAAGGAAAAGTGAGGGAATTAAAGGACTGGGGGATAGGCTTATCTTGTTGAGGCTTAAGAGTAGCTACACATGTCAGGAAATGAGACAGTAACAGCCAACACTGATGGTTCAGAGTGTGAGCTGCAAGTGTTATCCTAAAACATGAGGTTAAGGATGTCAGGACATTGTGAGACAGTATGTGTCCAAGCCACTGCTGGCTGTGGGAAGCACAGGTGATGGTAAGAATTGTGTGGAGAATTCCTTGAGCCAGAAACCCAGGTCCTCATTAAAACAGACAATCTGGAAGAAGAGAAGAGGAAGAGGATAATTGTTCAGATCACTAGGGTAGAGACCAGTCACCAGAATGTGTCCTTTTCAAATCAGTGGTTTGGATCTCTGTCTGGTGTTGTCAGTTTTCCAACAGAGACTAGACTAGAGTGGTTTTCTGAAGGTTTTTTGCAGAACTCTCTGATGCAAATGGACACTATTTGTTTCATAACTTCTGAATTTTTGCTTTCTTCAAAATTGGAAATGAAAAACGGTATCAGACATTTGCTCATCAGAAAAAGGACTTTAGTACATTGTGGCTAAGGAATGACATGCCATTCTTTCTATTCTTTAAGGGTTAGAATTGACAAGGAAATCTTTGTCATATCTCAAAAGTCGTAACTTTTCTTTGCTTTTTTTGCTTTTCTTTGCTTTTTTTTTCCTGTAGGAAAAAAAAATCTTTCAAAAATTTTGGTATGATTTTCTTTTCAAGCAAAGAATTATTTTCTTTTCCAAGTAAAATTTTCCAGATAAAAGTACATGTATGTACTAAATTGTTTACATCATTTACTTCCAGACCCACAAAGGATGATTTACAAAAGAAGAAACAGATCTCCATAACTGTCATCAATCATTCCCACTCTGAAAACGTCTAAAACAATGTAGCACATCTTTCAAATAACAACTGTAAATGTGTGAGTTTACCATATTCCCAAGACAATCTCCTCATAAGAAAATTAGCTTACTCTCTTATCTTGGGTGCATGATGGACAAGTTGTCTTTTGAGCACATTCTACAAGAAAAAATAAGCATAAAAATTAAAACTAAAGGCAATTTATTGCTTGGTTTTATATAAAAGTGTTTTTCATTTAGTCATTCCTATTTTAAGTTATATTCATTCATTCATAGTCAAGCATTTTACCTGATTATTGTCATTTATCTAAATGCTTTTCTCACCAGTACCATTTAATTCCTAATTCACTTCCTCTAGTTACTTGAGAAACATGAAATGGCATCATCCAATGTTGATTAGCCAAATTCTAAAAGACAATATGCATAAACAACTTGTCAACATTGCATGTATTTAAAGCACCATACTTTAAATTTTCTTTTAATAATGCTTTTGTTTTCAACACAGTTTTGCAAAGATATTCCTGGTTAATTAGTGGGTCCTTTATTTTTTAAAAAAGCATAATTCCCTGTCCTGTTTTGCTACAAAACTTTTAAGAATGAATATTTTCATTCTTTTTTTTTATTTTGTAGGATAAAACAACAATGTGGTTTATATTTGGAAGTTCTAGAATGAAACTTTTGAGTTCGGCGGGGGGGGGGAACACATTGTATTACTGCAATGTCTTCTGAAAAAAAGGAGTCTCCAATCAATGTCCTTGTTCTATGATACAAATTGCTTGATTGGATGCAGATCTCACCAGGCTGGAGAAAAACTTACAATTCAGTTTTCAAATTAAAGTTTATTGACCATTAATTCTTTGTACTGTAAACAATCTTAAAAATACCTGTGAGAAAGCTGAACTGAAGCAAAGGTAGGTAGATAGGAACAGTTCTGCTGCTCACCAATGTCTGGAGCAGCTGCTGCAGGCTTGTTTCGGGAGCCAAGTGCAGGAAGTAAAGGTGATGTTGCTCACCATGATCTAAATGCTGAACACTTCCCAAGCTTGCTTTATTAACTAATATTTTATTTTGGAATAATTTTAAATTGAAGAAACATTATGAAGACCATACAGGGAATTCTTGTGTACACAACAGCCAGTTTCCTCCATTGCTGACATCTTATATACTTCACATTGATCAAAACTAAGAAACTGGGGCTAGCGGAGAGATGGTTCAGCAGGTAAAGGCACTTGCCTTATAAGTCTGACAATCTGAGTTTGATCTGTGGAGCCCACATAAAGGTGGAAGAAGAAAATTGACTCCACAAAGTTGTCACTTGACATGTGCACTGTGACATGACTGGACTCACACATATATATCATGCAGAAACATGAGCACACACACTAATAATACATAAAATAATTTTAGTAACTAAGAAATCAAAAATTAATGTTTTGCTTTTAACTAGACAGATTTTATCAGGATTTCGCTAGATTTCACAATAATGTACTTTTTATATTCCATGATCTTGGAGGATTCCACATTGCACTCAGTCGTCTTGTGTCCTCTGGTCTCAGTAGGACTTTTGTCTTTCTTTGTTTGTCATGGCCTTGACAGTTTTGAGGAGTACTGATCAGGATTTGCTAGGATATCCCTCAGTTTGTCATATGCTTTTCACATGATTAAACTGACCTACGGGCTTTGACAGAGAACACTGCTATGGGGAAACACCCTCCACAGCACATCATTACAGTGAATGGCTTATCTGGCTTAAACCAAGCAGGAATCTCTAGTAGGCATCACTGCCCTCATTGGACAGCCAATGAGGGGTCAGTGCACGGACACGCTACATGAATCAGGAGGTAATTTCTTTTGTTCTATTCCTGAAAAATGACTTTCTATGTCATTTTTTAAGTAACATATTCTTCACCTTAAAGACCGGATGTTATTTTTAATGTATATATAAGTGTTCCTGTGAGTGCCAGCTCACATGTGCCACTGTGTGCCTGTACTCAGTTCTTAGTTCTAGGACACAAGAAGCTGAAGCCCCTCTGGTGGTGCCCATCAAGCCCCATAGCTTCACTTAGAGGGACATTCCTTTTCCTGAGGCTACTCACATGTGGGTTTGTAGTATGCTGATGAGCTTAGTAGCTCTAGCAATGCTTATTGGTGAGCCTGTCAAGGATAGGCTCTAATGCGTGAGACTTTACACATCCTCTAGTGCTTGCTGACACCTCCTCAGGATAGGACATAAAGGCCTGTCCCACCCAGGCTGAAACTCAAGACGTTGTTCTCCATAATAAAACCTCTTTCTCCTGAGTCTCCACAGCCTCAAGAGCACCTGAAGACAAGGCTGCTTAGACCTATGAATTGTTAAGGCTTAAAAAATTCTCTTCAGGAAAAAAAGGATGTCTGTTTTTTTGTTGGCACTGTTGGTAGAATACTAAATGATTACAATCTCACACTGTTTTCCTGTTAGTCTATTCCAGTGTTGGGTTCTTTCACAGAAATCCTTTATGTTTTCCATACTTTCGATGACTAACAACTAGCATGCGCTTTTTCTTTAAATATACTCTGAGGAAGTATATTTAACTCAGAGTTAGAATGATGAGGATGGCTGCACAAGACTGACGGTCCTAGACATGCTAACAGCAGCCCGAGGGGACCCACTTAATGCCCAACGAGATATGTTCTTGTGTTTTCTAGGATATAGCAGTTCCAGACGAAAGCCTTGTGCTACAGGAACTCCAGTCATTCCTACCACAGGATATCCAGATCCTACTTTCGAGCTAATGAAGAAAGTAGAGACTGTTTCATGGTCTTCTTAGGGAGGGACCAGGCCCCTCAATTGCATAGTTATAGAAGACAGATCATGATCTTTCAGTTTCCCAAAAAAGATTTCTGAAGCACAGCTCTCAGGGGAGATTTGAGGCAGGAGACCAGGTAGAGAGTGAGATTCAGAAGGTCTGGGCAGAGGCTGCAAAATTTGTATATAAAAAGAACAAGCTGGCAAAAAGGAAGGCTGGAATAGCTCCCCATCCAGTAACCCGCACTCTTTAACACCCTCCTTCCATCCCAGCAGTTAAGACCAATTATATCTGGCCACTGACACAGGTGGAAAGGCATATCAGAGTGCCTGGTCCATTATAATACTAAAACACACTCCCCTGGGTGAGGATTCAAGATCCTAATGAGACATGCATCACATGAAGTCACATGTAGAACTACATGGAACAGAAATTTGTAGAAAAGCTCACACTATGCAAATGACCCTAAAAGCCCATGCTAGTTGTTATAAACACCTCAACCCTTTGTACAGCAGAACCATTTGGGCTGTAAGTTTAATAAACCATTCCTGCTTCTTATTTTTAAAAAAGTCTTTAAACTTTACTCTTGTGTTTTGCTTGATCTGCTGTTGACTTCTGGTATACACATGTAATGTATCAGACATTTTTTAAAAATTCCTAATGGTAAATAAAAGTTCATTAATATGTCATTGAGGTATATTATACTACAAGCAAACAGAATACCACTAGATGTTCTACTTAATGATTTTGCAACCTTAATTCTGTGTTAACTAATGTTAATATTGCTTCTTTTGCTTTCTTCTTCAATAGCATTTGCAAGGAATCTTTTACCATCAAATTATTCTTTATTCTTTCATTTCCTCTAGAGATTTTAAAATCTCAAATCCTGAGGCTAGAGAGATGGTCCATTGGTTAAGAGTACTTGCTTCTCTTGCAGAAGACCTGGGTTCAGTTCGGAGCACTCATATGGTAGGTCACACTGGTCCTTAATTCCGGTTCCAGGGCATCTCATGCCCTCTTCTGGTCTCCATGGGCACTGCATGCATGGGTGCGCTCACATACATGCAGAAAAACACTCATACACATAAAATAAAAATAAATACATCAAAAAATATATAATTATTTTTTACTAGCTCTTCTCTTCTATTCCTCCTTTCTCTCCTCCTGAAACCCTGTTACACTAACGTTGACGTGAAGCCTTCTATTTTCTCTTTCTTCTCTTGTCCATTTTTAATGCATTCTGTAAAAAGCACATGGCTCTATCATTGCTTGCTAATTCACCCATTAGCCATGTTCATCTTTTAGCATGTACCAGTCAATGTTGTGAATGTATAACATGCATTCACTCATTTCATCCTCTCAACACCATTTGAGAAAGATTCTATTCTCACTTTACTGATTAGGAAACTGTGGCCCAGTTAGTACCAGCCTAGCTGGGTCATTCTGAGTTGGTCTCCCTGAACTCTGAGTTCATCTCTCAGAATGAAATAGTCAGAAAGGCACAGTCCAGGACAAAAGCAACTATTCACTCATATTGGGTGGGTTAAGAAAGGCATCATAGGGGCTGGAGAGATGGTTCAATTGTTAAGAGCAGCGACTACTCTTGCAGAAGACTGGGGTTTGGTTCCCAGCAGCCACAGAGTGGCAAACAACAGTCCTTAACTCCAGTTCCAGGGGGCTCTGATGCCTTCTTCTGGCCTCCACAGGTATTGCATACACATGGAACACTAACAACATACGTGCAGGCAAAACACTCATACACATAAAATTAAACAAATAAAAAAAATTTTTTTTAAAGAAACCATATCCTTGTTCAATGAGAAAGTAGAATTCAGGCACAAAGGAAATATTTATCTGAGACTAGGAAGCAAACTCAGTGAATTCCAGACATGATGAATCAAGCTTCCCAGGAAAAGGCAAGCTACCTCCTCAGATGCATAGACCAGGGCTGGTCAGCCTAGAACCGAGCTAGCTGGAAGCAGAAACACCAGTCTTTGGAGACCAGATTAGGTTATCTGTGATCACTGATCTGTTTTGTTTGCTTTCCTTTTTGTTCTTCTTGAGCATTTTAATAAAGTCATTAAAAAAAATTCAGCGATTTTGTTTCACTAGGGGCACAAAGGAAAGGGACTGTCTCTATGCTTGAGCCTGTGGTTTTTGGTGCATCTAAATCAGGAGAAGGCAACTAGGATGGTACTGGAACTGTTTCTCTTGAAATATGTATGGGAGTGGCTAAGGATGTGAAAAAGAGAGAAATCCAAGGGGAAATGAGAACAAAGGAAAGAAGCTAGGCACATTGATTCAGTCTCTGTCTACCCCTGTCCCCTTACTGGGGGTTCCTATTTCAGTGCAAAGCTCTTGAAAACTGGGTTGGGTTTTGGATAAAAAGTTTGATTTGCTTCAATACACTAAAATTTTATACTCTGGAAATGAAACAGCCACAAGCACCCTGTCCTCATAAAAATGGCACGCTTGGTTTTATAGGGTATTTTCTAAGTAATTCTAATTCTCTAGCTATACAATTCAATTTAGGATGTTTAAAATCTTATTCCAGATTCATGCATCAGCTCAGCATGACTCCCAGCATTTCTAAATGTCTTCATCTGAGGAGGAAAACAAAGAACAAAACAAAACAGGAGTCCGGATGGGGGAGGGGATATAAAGATGATTAAGATGTTTTGTATAAAATGCACAAAAATTCAATAAACATACATTAAAAAGAAAGAAAACAAGCAAGAGTCCAATTTTAACTAGATTTCCTCCCCAAACACCATGAGCCTTTAAAAATGTCTTCCCACCACACCAAAGGGCAAGTTTTGAGCTGTGTGGAAGGCCCAACCAGAAAGAGCAGTGGCTTTCCTGAGGCACCAGCCCTGGGGGCCCAGGTCACTCACCCTCCTCAAGAGATTTTGCTTCTATCTGCTGTTTCTTGTGATGGTGAATTTTGGTAATCTTATTGTCAGAAAAGCTGACAAACAGTTGAATGAAAACCAGGGAGAGGAAGATTGGCAGGAGGATCTGGCTCCATGCCCTCAGCCAGCACATGACTCCTCCCTTGCAAATGTGGCAGTCACTGGGCACCTGGTAGGGCCTGACAACTCTGCTCAGGGACCCCTTGCAGCCCTGGGCCTCTCAGGCCTCCTGTTCTGGGCCCTGCTCTCCAGCATAATTGGTGGAACCTTAGAATGTTTGGGTTAGAATGAGAATGTTGGGACTGCAATGCTGGTCTGCACTGGGCTGGAGCTTCGGGAGTCCAGAGCACCACATACAGTTTGGTCACTGGACTTGTTCAAAGTCTCCTGGTCCAAAGACTTTCCTGCGATGCTGTTGATTTTGGTTCTGGATTCTAATTTCCATTCTCTATAGCATGTAAAACTGCACCCTTCTGGTGGGCATTCCTCAGATGTAAACCAACCTCCACTAGCCCACCTCACGTGGTATGGTACACAGGATCCAGTGAAGTTCACTAGTTTGAAAATTCCCAGTTTTATCCTTGCCTTAGCTGGGGACACGGTGCATTATAATGTAGTTGCCCGATGTATGTGTGTTTTAGGTGGTATACAGATGAATAGCTCTTCTTTTCATAATTACACTTATTAATGTTTATGAATAAAAAGTTAATAGTTACAATATATAATGGCAATTATTTAAACTTATCTTTTAAAGTATATCTATGGGAGTTGGAGAGATGGTTCAGCAGTTAAGAGCACTGGCTGATCTTGCAGAGGACTTGAGTTCAGGTCCCAGAACCCACATCGCAGCTAATTGTCCATAATTCCAGTTTTAGGGGATGCATCGCCCTCTTCTGACTTCTGCAGGTATTGTAGGACATGTGAGCACTTGCATACATGCAGGCATCTCACACTCATAAAATAAAATAATAATAATAGTAAATAAAATATTTTAAAAATAATCTAAGTAAAAACAGTTTTTCAGAAATAGAATACTAGTACACAGTTAAAGGACATGACTAGAGTGGTTGCTTTTTCCTTGCCATTTATGACGTAGACAGCAGATAGATGACTATTTACTATGAAATTTGTTCTTATAATAACAAGGAAAAGACCAAAAGAAAATAGGAAAATGGGCAGGGATATGAGGAGTACATCTGCAGAAAAGCAAATACAAGTAGCGAATAAGTAATGTGGAGAAAAATAAGCACTTGATGAGACAATTATAAACCCCAGTAATAATGAGCTATATAATGTTGTATCTATCAGGTAAGCAAACATTTATAAAGAAAACACATGCTTCCAGTGGAAATGTGGGGAAAGACACCTTTGGTGCAGCTGTGAATTGTTAGTGTCTTTGGAAAAGAACCTGGGGAAAGCTACAAAAAATAAAAATCCTCGTGTTCTACGTAGGGAATATATATTCATTCAGAACTGTGCCTCTTGCTGCTTATTATTGCTCATGAGTCTCATGATACAATTCCCAGCATGGAAGTGAAGCATGAGAAGTTAGACCTGAGAAAATCAGGGCATGGAAAGGTACCTGGCACCATGCTCAGGAGTGGGCACACAGCCCAAGTACATCCAATCCAAGATCATCTCAGAGCTTTGGCCAGGAATGTTGGGGTAAGGATGAATGTATTCCTCTGGTTTCAAACTTGGAAGAATTTGTTCTCCATGGCTGCTAACTGCCATCTTGCTGTTATGCAGAGATGACTGTGGAATGCTCATATGAAAGCATAACTGACTGATGACCTCAGTTGCTGTTGCTCAGATTTCTACACCACATTCATTGCAATGCTATGCTCCCTACAAACTTCTCTGTCAAGACTAAACATACTGGGTACACTAATAGGAACGCCTTCGGTTGGAGATTTGGGTTTACCCTCTCTGCATCAAACTATTGGAAACTTTCTTGGAATTGTGCTGAACTCTGAAACTCTACCAACAAAAATTGTGTTCTTTTCTCCTTTATGGGTGTTAAAACTAACTGTATCAGTGTTTGAAGACTGTCTTCTAGTTTGTTTCTCCATTGCTGTGGTGAAACACTCTGACCAATACCAACTTGGGGAGGAAAGGGTTTATTTGGCTTACATCTCCCGGGTCACAGTTCATCACTGAGGGAGCCCAAGGTAGGAACTCAGAACAGGAGCCTGAAGGCAGGAGCACAGGTCATGGAGGGATGCTGCTTATTAGCTTGCTCCCCTGGCTCATGCTCGGCCTGCTTATACAAGACAGAACAAACTGCCCAGGGGTGGCGCCGCCCACAGTGGGTTGGGTCCTCCCACATCACTCAAAATTCAATAAAATACCCCACGGGCATAGTCACAGGCCAGTCCAATGGAGGCAATTCCCCAATTGAGACACCCTCTACCCAGGTGTGTCAAGTTGACACTAAAGCTATGCAGCACAGGCTCTCTTTACCTTCAGTGGTTGCTTCTTTTAACTTTTCCAGAATTTTCCTAATAAACATCTTACAAACGTAATCCTATCTTAACAGATGATTCTTGAAGGACCCAACTTAAAAAATTCTAAGAATTCTGGAAAATGAAGGTGAGTGAGCCAACATTGTTTCAGCCTCATTGTGGACTATGGTCCACTGATGACTATAGTCTCACTGGGGTACTGGAAGAGGACACTACAGAATGGATTGACTCCAACAACAAAACTTGTTACTGTTGCAGAGGCCGGAAATCTGAGACCAAGGTGCTGGCGAGGTTGGTTTCTGCTGCAGCTTCCCTGAAGTGTGTGAGCTGAGTCCTCACACGTGCTTTCTTCATTCATACACACTCCTGGCGTCTCTCCTTTCTATAAGGACAGCAGTCTTCATGGGTTAAAACCTTACTCTTATAACTTCAACATATAAACTTTGGGGGAAGACAATTTACTTCATAATAGTTTGGCACAGTTTGAAGAACTTATCTGGGATCATTCAGCTTACTATTTTTGTGCAGTTTATTCTTTGTCTTTAAAAATTGTTTCTGCCCCCCCAATCATTTTTATGCAGATGCAAATCTTATTTCCTCTCCTCAAGTAATCTCCAATTTCCCCTTAATCATAAGCAAATGTGTGTCTATTAAAATGTTTTTAGTACTTTCTTGGATTTTGCATTTTCAGATAGAAAGCCAATATTTATAATTAAGACATTTTTCACAAGATGGAAATAGCCAACAGACTCAAGAAATCATGACCATAAAATGAGTGTGACTACTAATGCCATCTGTTGTTGACAACAAAAATGGCATGTCTTTACTTTAGATAGCTTGTTCTGGTCCATGGAGCAAATATGCTAAAAATATGAAGGTGAGGTTTCCTCTCTCCTTCCTTCCTGTTCTGTATTCCTCTGTGCCAGTGAGCAGCCAAATTGTAGGACTAACTGAAAGAAATGAAGGAACAAAGTACAGAGATGCGGCGGGAGAATCAAGAACCTAGGACAGTGAAGCACTTAGGGACTGACAGTAAAAGGAAGATACTACCAGATATTACAAGAACTATCTAAGGCACTGAGAGGCTGAATAGGAGACAACTGAAGAGCTGCTGGGTAAGACCTGCGGTCATAAGGTGAAGGAAGTTAGTTTGTCTCTCAGACTAGGCAGACTTCATACAATGATCTCTCCTCCCATTATCTTTCCAAAGCTGGAGGGGCAGAGAATCCAGGAAATATGGTCTGCAAAGGGCAAAGCAGGGCAGAGAAGGTGGAAGATGGACTTGGAGGATTAACCAGCATAACCAGAGCTGCACTCTCCCCTCCTATACAAACATAAAATAAAATCACTTTGTGTTATGTATATTTATTTTACATATTTGATACCTATATTAATCCAAGATTAAGTGATTAAATGTCTCATTTATAGTGGTTAATACTCCTGTACTCCATTATAAGAGGAACTTATAAATAAGTATTTTTAAATAAATGAATGAATGCATAACTTATTGTCTACCTTCATGGCTTAAAATCTTGCTGGAAGGAAAGGGCAAATGTAACCTATTTTATGCTATGTCTTAATTCAACACATTGCATTCCAATTTTGAAAATAATACATACATCAAGGAAGCAAACAAGATTCTGTTATCTTGATTTCTGGTTGTAAGTTTATGTGGGAAGCAAATTTAAAATATTTTATTTATTACTTTTATTTTATGTATATGACTGTATTGCCTGCATGTATGTAAGTTCACCCATGTTGTGCAATGCCTGTGGAGGTCAGAAGAGGGAGTCAGATCCCCTGGAACTGAAGTTACAGATGGTTGTTAGCTGCCATGTGGGTGCTGGGAATTGAACCAGGTCCTCTGCAAGATCAGCCAGTGCTCTTAACCACTAAGCCATCTCTCCAGCCTGAGAAGCAAATTTAAACAACAGTTTCTAAGACAACTTCCTCATAATTTGGTTATTAAGTATAAAGTAGACAGCATATTTAAAAATTAAGACTAATGTATTTATCTTGGAGTGGGCTAAAATTTCACACAAAGAATAGAAGAGCTTAAGTAGAAGAGCACTCAGATGAGCCTGAAAACATTCAAATGTAGGTGAACTCTTAAATACACAACCTGTTGAAGGCTAGCAGATAATATATGCTACACGTTAATTGGTGAGTACTGCTATAGCCAAGGCCTGTATCTCTTCTCTTATGGACACAGAAATTATGGCTATGATAATTGATATCCCTCCCTTCACTCTGACCATTGTAACTATTGTCATTGAACTGTGGAAGGTGCCTGATAAGACATTTAAGGCATACACACAAGTGTACTCATCACTAGCTGTCTAATTACTATGATGGCAAGGTCACATCAATTTTTTAGTAGTAGTATCAATCTCTAAATGTTATAGCAATTTGTTCTCCAAATATCACATTCCCTATACATTCTCAATAAAAGGAGGTGGGGAGGTGGAATGGAAACTGTTGACATTTTGTTGTTGTAGAAAAGAAATATTTATAGTCTCTACGAAGCACTTTTGAGGGCACATATAACATGAAAGGACATTTCAATGGAAAACATACATTCTGGCTGGTTATTGTTGCTAAGTGCACTGTTCAGCAAATGTTCCGCTATATTGAGTTTCAGGCATCAGTTGAATTATATTATGGTGAGATCTGTGATTAAGGTATGCTAACTCAAAATGACAAGCCAAGGGCTTTTAGAACCTGCATTTCAATGAAATCTGGCAGCACAAAAACAGCTGCTCTAAGTCTACTCCTCTACTATTTCAAAGGAAGAATATCGACGGATTTCTGATACCATATGTGCCAACTGCAGAAATTCTAGAACAGTGTGAGTGACTGTGGGTGAAAGGCCACACTGCCTTATACAGATGGCATGTTGAATTATTAAAGAGCAATTTTCATCATTGAATCATTTCAGAGCTTGAAATAAAAGGTCTTCTTGGGTATCTTGAAGTTTGTTGCAACCTAAACTCCTTTACCCAACTTGTGTGAAGCCAGTAGGTAGCATATGTGATTTCATATCCTAACTCGATTTACATTCTTGTGTGAGTTCAATTTGTTTTGCAGGCAGGCTCTAAAAGACATTTCATGGGGGAAAAAAAATCGAAGGTCATGTCTTTGGCAGGGAATTTTAAATTAAATCCAAATCTTTGCTTCAGACTTAAACCTGACTCACATTCTCAGGAGAATGGTCCCTTCTCTCATCAAAATTCCTTGTACTTCTGCTGGAAAATTTCTCATTTAGCTTAAAAGATATTAAGAAATAGTCGCTTTAGCTTTTGTCAACTAGAAAAATATATATAACACCAACAAAATGCTTGGTATGTGATTGTCTTACTTTTCCTTTTGTTGTGATAAAATTCCCTGACAGATGCATCTTATGAAGAAAGGATTTATTTTGGATCATAGTGCAGGGCTAGCCCGGCATGGTGAGGAAGCCGCTGCAGCAGAAGCAAGAGGCAGCTGTCATACCCACAGTCAAGAAGCAGATGGTGATGAAACCTTGTGCTCAACTCACTTTTGCCTTTTCTATAGTCCACAATCCTAGTCCAGGGAATAGTCCCACCCAGAGTGGACGAATCTTCCCACCTCAATTAACCTAATCAAGATAATCCACCACAGGCATACCCAGAGGCCCATACCCCAGATGGATCTAGATCTCATCAAGTTCACAATTGAGATTAATTATCACAGCAATATTCAGTAAATGTTAGGCACTCTTCTCATCTCATCAAATGCATTCACACATTTCCATACTTAATGTTGGAGTTCACATTAATGCAATTTCAAAAAAGAACATGTAGAATAAAAAATATAGAGTGCAACCATTCCTTAAAGGCAAAATCCAACATAAAGTTTAGAATTCTTATGTCATTAGATAAAGAGAACAAGGCAAGAGGGCCACGATGGAGAACCAGAAAGGTATCAGCCCCTATCAGGGAACTTCTGCAGTGCAAGATTATTCCAAAAAGATTCCCTAAAAGGAAACAGCAGCTCTACTCTGGACAAACTGTGAGCTATGAATGGCATGACTGAACTCACAGCACTGAATCGAGCCTCTACCTAGAATGAAACCCCAGTCAGGACTGTTGTCATTTGCCCCATAGGAAATGCATAGTGGGTTGCCCCTACCATCCATGCACAAATTCACCTTTACATGAAATGAGAATGAGAAGACAAAATTTCTTGTAATGTTCACAACAATTAAGATATACAAACATAAAAGGGTATACATTGTGACACTGAAAACAAAATGTGGGCGAAGGGTGGAGTAAAAATATAGATGGTATATTTAAAAATTAAGACTAATGTATTTATCTTGGATTGGGCTAAAATTTCACACAAAGGCATTAAATAGAAGAGTCACATTTTTCTCTAAAGGCAGCACTAAGATGATCCTGAGAACATTCAAATGTGGTGAACTCTTAAATAAACAGCCTGTTGAAGGCCAGCAGATAAAATGTCTCCCATATGCCTCAGGTTAATTGGTGAGTATTGCTATAATCAGGGCCTATATCTCTTCTCTTAAGAACACAGAAATTATGGCTATGATAATTGATATCCCTCCCTTCACTCTGACCATTGTAACTATTGTCATTGAACTGTGGAAGGTGCCTGAGAGATCATTTAAGGCAGAGACCCATAACTGGTCAACCCGAAGAGAATGACTTCAGAGTGCTCAGTCCTAAATGAGATGCCCATTTCATACTGTGTCCCCCCAAGGCTCAGGGATCATCATGGAAGAAGGGGTGGAAAGATTGTAAGAGCCAGAGGTGGCAGATAAATACAAGGAAACTGTATTGTCTGGATTCCACAGTGTAGTTGCACATATGAACTCACAGTGCTTGTGACAGAAAGCACAAGACCTGTGCAAACCCAAGCCAGATAAAGACCAGGTATGGATGGGGGAGATGGGCAACTGATAGCTACTGGGAGAGGTAGAGTCAGTTTTCCTTGCTGGTGTGATCCCTGAAAGGTTGAGCAGACTCCAAGGGATAGACCCACACCCAAGAGCATTTTGGAAACACAAATTAGACTCAATACGCCTAAAAAGAAGATGAAAAAGAAAAAAAATGACAGAGTACATGAAGTTGGGGGTGGAAAGGTCTGAATATGAACAAAATACATTGCATGAAATTCTCTAATCAAGTTGTCCTCTGACATTCCACAGTTAAGAGTGCTTTCTGCTCTTGCAGAGGACCAGCATTCAGTTCCCAGCACCATATTGGGTAGCTTGGTGGAGAAATATTAGGTCCTGAATGCTCCTCATATGGAGCATTGTCTTCTGACATTCCACAGTTAAGAGCGCTTTCTGCTCTTGCAGAGGACCAGCATTCAGTTCCCAGCACCATATTGGGTAGCTTGGTGGAGAAATATTAGGTCCTGAATGTGCCTCACATGGAGCATTTTGCCTTGCTGCCCTCTGGCCACTTTCCTGGAACCCAGAGTCTCATATGACATCAGCCTACCCTGCAAATGCCCTCCCTGAAAGGGCAACCTCAATACCCGCCCCCACCTGAAGAGAGAAAAGTATAAAAACCCTGAGTCTATAAGAAAGGATGCTCCCCTCTGGATCCTGGGCTGAGGTGCCCATCTCGTTAGGCTCCTGGGCTCCAGGGATGCCCTCTTGGGTTTATCGTCTGCCCTAATTGTTCTAATAGAGGTAGAACATTTCCTTATACAGCTCAAAACTGCCTATAACTCCAGTTTGAAGGAGCCTGATACCCTCTTCTGACCCTACAGGCACAGACAAATGGTGCACACACACCGTCACACACACACACACACACACACACACACACACACACATAATTAGAAATAAGAATAAATCTAAAAAAGACAAAAATAAATAAATATATCTGATCAGGTAATGTTTCTGATAAGCGGTAGAAACAGTGACTTAAGAGTCACTTGAAATTAATACCTGTAATTGTATCAAAACTCCAGCCAAAGACCACCAGGGACTGACCTGCAGTTCAACAGTGGGGTTTAATTTCTTGTTACAGAGAGAAAGAATTCACAGTGTCAGGAAATGTGTGATATCTCAGTAAGAGTGCATTTGAAAGTTGTGTCATAGAATTTGGACTTCGGTTAGATTTTGGAACATCTTAAGGAATCAGGACTATCTCTGGGATTGAAAGCTAAGAGGAAGTGGGATTAAACTTTACCTAGAAGGAGAGAGTGAGAGTCTAGAGCTGTCAGTGGCAAGGCAGCAGCAATCACATTAGCTCTTGCATACTAGGCCACTTATACTAGGAACAGATAATGTCACCTCAGAAGGAAGGTAAAAGAGTCAGGGTTTGAACCCAGGCCTATACGAGAGCCTGAATGTTTATATTAGGGGTTATTTTGCCCTCCTGGAAGTTTTCTAAGTCAGCCTCCCAGTAAGTGCTCAGTGGGTAGATTCCCATCAGATTGCACAGCCTTGGTCCCATGTACCACATGAATGATACAATGTGGCTTAGAGAAGACCAAGGTCCATGATGCCATCTTGATGTCACCACGGAGTTGATGGAAGCTCCCATATTACAATTCTCAGATTACTTTCACTGCAGTCACCTCTTTCTGGGGTCCTAGATCTCTTTGGTGCTGTGCTGTGAGGCTCTGCCGGTAAATGGCCACTTAACCCTTAATAAAACGCATGCCAGGAAGGGTGAACACATGTTCACATCCACTCAACAGCAGATCTCTCCACTCTTGAATAGGAAAGCCCTGGTTTTTCCCAGGTCTAACTTGTCCTTCACTATCACACATAATCCTGGAAGGACATGAAAACTGAAGGTTTTTTTCTCTGCTTCCTTCCTTCAGTCACACACATTTCCAGGAGGGGTCACATAGCACAAACCAAACCAATGGGTGGAGGGTGTCACACACCTATAGTCCTAGCACTTGGTAGATGGAGACAGGAGGGTCAGGAGTTCAAAGTCATCATTGCAGCAAAGTGAGTTCAAGGGCAGAAGCCTGGAGTGGAGTGACAGTCAGGGTGTGTTAACAATCGACACAGGGCTGTTCTTTGAAGAGATCATCTACTCATTCCTGTCACCCAGATTCCCAGAGCTGTCTTTCCTGAGATTTAGCTGTTCGGTGATTTCTCTGACTCCCCGAGCTACTCAGATTATTTCTAGTAAGTTTTTCTTTTAAGTTGGTCACTTTTTGTTTGCAGTACAAGAACCCTACTTGACACAGATTTATTTGGTCATATTTTTTTTTATTCAGCTCAAAATATTAGGAAAAGAGACAGTTAAAGCTGTGACTTTCCAGTTCACATGGAAACTGGAGATACTCTCCCAGGGTCTCCTGCCTTATGAAGATTACTGGACTTTTCTCTAGCACTGAGAGGTGGTCAGAATAAATGCCACAAAGACAATGCGCCTTTGACCTTTATTTTCATTGTGTGACTCTTCTCAATGGAAGCAGATATGGTTGAACTCCCAGTGCTGATCCAGTTTGTTACTGACAAACAAACAAACAAACAAAAAAGAACACCTTTATTTCCATCTATTTATGCAGCAATTTGAATAGAAGCTTTCTAAATCTGAAAGCCATTTCTCCAAGAAGTTCACTGGTATATGAAATTACATGTATCTCAAGTAGGTAGCATGCTTTTCTTGAAATTAAGTCAACCGTTAACTCCCAGTTATATAGCTTTATAGTGTGTCATTTGAAGTCATACAAAGAAATCCTTGGGAAAAGAAATATTTAGGTGACAGGAGCAGGAAAAAGACATAGTTATAACTATATCTCTTGAGAAAAATTCATTATGGGAAAAAGATATTCCAGAATATATGCATTAGAACATTTCTGTACACAGTTTACAGTGTTTTTAATTTAGACATCAGATATCCTGTGAGTTTCTCATCCTGTGACATGCAAGTCATTCTGAGAAAGATGGCCATTTTAAAAAAACTTGCCTGGTGGTGGTGTTTCCAGATGACTGTCCACATAGAAAACGCAAGAAAAGCTGCAGTTACAAACTAACAAATGAGTTCAGAATTTTCCTTGAGTCCAAGTCATCCCATGTATTAGCCATGTCAACCAGAAAATGTACTTGAGGAAGAAATCCCATTCACAATACTACAAAAGCTAGAGATATGAATCTGTTAGTACTAAACAACATAACTCTCAAAATAACATTGGATGTAAAAAACAAGTTGTGGACATAAATGATAAATTTGTCACTTTATATAAGCATAAAAATCTTGTATTTAAAAATGTTAAATTCAAAAGTACTATGTAAACATTTATGGATTAATATGAAAAATTCAGATATTGGTTACTTCTGGCTAGTGTAAGAAAGAATGGGATTGGAGAGCCAGTTGTAGGATTTTATTACTTAGAAAAAATTCAAGTGCAAGTATATGGAAAAGCATTAAAGTAGAATAATTATTATTCTCTTCACTGTTGTCTATCATTTTATTTCTATTTGATAATAAAATGTTCTAAAGAACTATTGTAAAGGGCAGAACAGAAACTTACCCTGTGGGTCTCTTACTCCATTTGGAGAATCTTGGCATAAAACAAGGTCAGTCTGAATGTGTAAATGGTTTTGTTGTTTTATGAAAACTTCATCAGAAATTTAGCCAGTAGATTAGGTAATCTTATAACCACATATTATCCAGAACCGATGCTGTTTATGTAAATATTTCCTCTTATGGAGAAACTTGCCATTCAAATTTTTATTCAGCAGAGATAGTTGTAATTGTGAGCTAAGGAGAAAAATGTCACGAGTTTGGGTTCTAATTTTGCCAACTATTTGGTGATCTTGTAGAAGTTACTCTCTTTTCCTTCAGGTTTGATGCATAAACAGGATAGGATAAGTGCTAGACTATTTACTGTTATAGAAAAGCTAAGGGATTCTGTATGCAGTTTTCATTCATTTCCAGGTTGAATTTCATGAGAAGTCAAACATGATTAAGATGTTTGGAGAGTGAAAACACAGTTTTGGGGAGAAACAGGAGTATCTGTGTAGTACTGAAGACTCTATAACAGGTGATTGTGAATGAGATAATCCCTGGCAGCCTTTTTATAAGGAAGAATAAAACAGTGCTCTTTTCCTTAGCTGCTAGAGGACTTTATTTGAAAAATAAACAGAGATGTTACAGAAATTAAGATTCCTTAGGCAATTTTGTTGGGATAATGTATACCCTCCAGATTTGCCTCAGCTGGAAAGAGGATACCAGCTATTTTCTTATTTTTGTCACAGAAAGGCAGTGGTTAAAAGCACGTACTCAAAACTTTCACTGTGGATCTGAACCCACACTCCACCACTTACCACTGGGTGCCTCAGTCTCTCCGTAGGTGAAATGTTGATGACGCTGGTATCTATCTACCTTTCAGCCATAAGTTTCAGGGAAGGTGACCATACCTCTCTCCAGGGGTGGATCCAGGTTTGTGGGATCATAAGTTCATGTTTTTGAGGCTTCTTTAGAAATGACTATTTTACTTCAACATGAGTTACAAGGCTAAAGAAAGGTCCTAAGCAACCGAGGTTGCCTGAAGTTTAAGCTTCATTACCTTTGCAGTCCATCCAACCAGGCCATATTCTCCAAACCAAGAACCAATGGAGAATGTGGACGTAGAAGTCAGTCAGTCAGGTATCAGTGGACAGCCAATCTGCAATTCCAGCTCCTGGGAAACTAAAACAGGAAGATTGTGAGTTTGAGGCTAGCTTGAGTTACATAGCAAGATTTTGTCAGAAAATAAAAACAAGAACAAAAACAGTCAAACATTCCTTACATGCAATTAAAACAACAACAAAAACAACAAGAAGAAAAAGTCCTCCATAAGCACAAAGTGTTTTTGTAACTTATTTGGAAGCAAAATCCAATGTAATATGAATTTATCTGACAGCAAAATTAAATCTGAAGCCATGTGATTCAGTCTTAATTTATTACACTCAGTGCGAACATCTATACCTCTTATTGCAGAAATACTAGCACAAAGTTTATGTTTGATAAAGTGCTGTCCACCCCCAAACTTGCATATTAACCATTTAACCTCTCTCAAGTCAGAAAAGTTCTGAATTTTTTGTTTGTTTGTTTTGTTTTGGAGAGAGAACTGTGACACAAGCCTCTCTCTCTCTCTCTCTCTCTCTCTCTCTCTCTCTCTCTCTCTCTCCCTGGAACTCGATATGTAGAGCAGTCTGGCCTCATCTCACAGAGATCCCTCTGCCTCTATCCCCCAAGAGTTGGGATTAATGGCATTTATCACCACTCCCAATTCAAATTCTGTATTTTTATACTTACCTGTCCACATTAAGATACTAAGAATTAGATTCCTGGCCCAGGAGACAGACAGGAAAAGAGGAACATTTCCATTTAAACTTTAAGACAACAACCTACTTCTTTTCTCTCTAGGACAAAAATTTGGTAGCCTTTTGACTGTTGGAGGAAACTGTTTAGAGGGACTTTAAAATCTCGAGGTGGGGAGTGTAGAGGCTGGAGGTTATCTCCTGCGGCAGGAACCAATCAGCTTCCCTTTTTTTGTCTGGATTACCTAGTCTCCACAATAGCCTACACCAGTCAATTCTGAGGGAGAAGGGGAACCCATACTACCCCAAAGCATTTACAAGATTTGGCTCTCAAGACAAACTCAGATTCCGGCTCTAGATTCTCTTCCCACTAGGGAATCTGTCTTTTTGTGTGCCTTGCCATGTGTGTGTGTGTGTGTGTGTGTGTGTGTGTGTGTATGCTTCTGCTTTCAATAAAGTTGGCTGAGTGCTGAGGCCTTACTTTTCTGCCTCTTTATTATTCCTTAAATTGGCAGAGGAAAAAGAATCTGTTCCTGTAACCCTAGACAACCCTACCAAGATGGTATCACCAGGAGTTTCAGATAAACAGACTATGGATGAGGTCCAGTTTATTGTTGCTTGTTATGGCTTGGATATGGATACAGTTTGGAAGGTGATGGAAACTAGGAATTGAGATCTGGTCAAAGAAAGTAGGTCACTAGGGTTCTGCTTTAGAAAGTTATATCCTGTCAATGGTCCCTTCCTGTCTCAAGGTTTGTGTGCTTCCTGGCCACCATGAGGTGAGCAGCTCTGATCAACTCTACTATCTATGCCATAACATCCTCTTCACAACAGGCCCTGGCAATGAGGCTAAATGACCATGGGCTGGATCCCCTGAAACTGTAAGCCAAAATAAACTTTACATTTTCAATGCAAAAGCATAACTCTTACCTCAAAGGGAATAAGAGAGAGTTTATTCTGGAGCCAAATATGAATAACTACAGCCCAGGAACAGATTCAGGTTGTCCCAAAGTCCATATTCCAACATGGTAACAGTTTCATGAAGTTTTTTGTTTTTTTTTTAATCTTTTTGAGACAGGGTCTACCTGTAGCCCCAGCTGGCCTGGAACTCATTATGTAGGCCAGGCTGGACTCAAACTCAGAGATCTGCTTGCCTCTGACTCCCAAGTGCTGGGATTAAAGGCATGTACCACCATGCTCAGCAGTTCAAACTGCTTT